ACAGTGCTAAATACACCGGGCAGCGCTTCGGGAGGGGATCCTGGGATCCTCTGCTAAACAAACCAGGGCAGCTCTTCGGGAGGGGATCCTGTGCTAAATACACAGAGACAGCACTTCGGGAGGGGATCCTGAGATCCTCTGTTAAATAAACCCGGGCAGCGCTTCGGGAGGGCGCGCTGCGAGGGGAGCGGGCAGGGAAGGGCTGAGCAGCAGCCCGAGGAGTGTTCGGGTCATTCTGCTCCAGAACAAAACCCGATGTTCCCGATATCCCGAGGGCTTTGTCGCCGCGGTGATGGCCCTGCAGGTGGGGATTCTGCCTGAACCTGGCCTTGGCCAACTCAGCCAGCCCTGACCTGGGCCCTGCTATCCTCCTCTTCCATGGGACACACTGTTATGTTCATTTCCATAATTCACTGGCATGCCATGTTTACTTTTCACATCTCTTTGAAAAGCAAATGGAACTAACTAAAAGGGGGAGAAGAAAATGTAAAAGCTAAATAAACTTCAGCTTTCAGATGTTCTCTTTATTTTTCCCTCTCAAAAAGTGTTGATCTCTCTCTCAAGGCAGGTAGGAGGAGTAGGAAAGTTGTGTCTTTCCAGTTTTAGCTTCAAACTTTTGTGGTTTAGGCATGTGGGAGTTTAAGTATCAAAAATCATTGTTTTTTTTTTTTTAGGAACACTTTAGAAAATTTATATACTCTAGAATGCCTAATATTCTGCTGAGAAAAGTAACAGCAAAAATGTTAACAGCTCACTTTTTTATCATAAGCCCTAGATTTGCTTATCTAATGCTCTCCTTCAGTTCCTCTCAATGTCCTTACAGCACAAAAAAATGTACACACATACAAGGCCAAAACACTGTGGAGTCTCCATCCTTGGAGACAAGTTCTCCAAGTTTGGAGATGTTCCCAAATACTGGAAAAAGTCCTGAGGAACCTGTCTGGTGCTGACCCTTGTTTTAAGAGGGGGTTGGATGGACAATGGTCTCATTTGGTTTCTGCCTCCATCTTTAGGATCCCGCTGGTCTTTTTCTCTTGTTTTCATGTTAGCTCCCCAAGACATGTTTTGCTTGTGGCCACATGCCTGTGCTTACTGCCCATGATTAGTCAGCTGGAAAAGGCTTCATTTTTTAAAACGTCCCTGTTGCAGTGACAAACTGATTATTTTTCCTTAATATCATGTATCAAGAATTAATATTCAAGTCAGCCATTAAATTCTTCATTTGTGTTAAGGAAATGTTATTTTCCATACTGCTGTAATGACATGTCCAGAGGAACTATTGGACAGTTTATGGCTCTTAATGCTGATTTGATTTTAATCATCTCAATAGTCTCACCTGTCACTGTATTTCCTAATTTTCTAAATGTTTTATCCCTTTTAAAATGTTGGTATTTGGGACATTATTAATTACCAGACAGTGAAATATAAATTTACTTCCTCTGTGCTATTTGGCCACATACAACCTTGTGAGTAGGTTCAAGCATTGCCTTTTTCACTGAATTGTATCAGTGCCACAAGAACATCTCAGAATAGTAGGGCTCTAGGCTATAAGCCATGTGAGGGGGAATTGTGTTTTAAACTGATTAGAACATACAAGTCATTTTCAGAAATGTTTATAAAAATTAAATAGCTGTCTTTTTTATTTTAAAAATCATACACAAGGAGATCACTTCTCTTTCACAGAAAAAAAATATGTGATATTTTTCTCCATTCTCTTTATGTATGTGAAACCTTTGAGACTATCATTGCAGTCAGCTGCAGGACAAACATTCCCCAAATTCTTTTTCCTGAGGAGTGCTCATTCTGGTGCTGAGTAAATACCTTTCTTGATTCCCCACTTTATAAGGAATATGTGTCCCTTCTGAGGCACCTCACTGCAAATCAGCTGTAATGGAAGCCCTCATCCCAGCTTTTATTGGGAGGATAAACACTGCAGCAGTTCCCTTCCAAAGTGTTTACCTGGCTTTCTCACAGCTGACTCAGTGGATCAGAGCCTTTTAAGGCATTCTGCCTGGCATTTTGTCACTAATCTCTGAAAAGCTTTTCTAATTCTCATATGATTAATAGTATAGGATGCTATTCATTGAGGAAAAAGTAAAACATTTTTTTTCTGTCTTGCTGCCTAATTTAGATGTTAAATTGCTAAATCCATCTACTTTCCAACTTTAGTCTCAAAGGCAAATAATGCCAGTATTGAACTACAAGCAGTTGATGGACAAAGAAAATACCACTTAACTCCCTCTCCTTGCCAAACCAAAATCTTTTAATTTGCAGAGATTCAGCAATGTCATTAAACTACTGAAAAACAATTTCCTTCCAGCAGGTTGTTGTCATATTGCTGAGACCAAAAGGCATCATCAAGTCCTCCGAGGTCTTGATGTCTCTTCTAAAAAACAATATAAGCCATTCTAAGATACATGCTCAACCTGCAATTGAATGAGCTGATGGCTGATTGGAATTGCACACATGAGGCAAAACCACACAGATAACCAAACAGAAGTGCAGGTAAAGCCCCAAATCTGAAATGAACACCTGCTAGCAAAGCAGAACCCCAAGGGACTGGTGACTGGTGCCACAGCTGCCATCCATGTCCCCTGCCCGTCCCTGTCCCCAGCTGGCCATCAGGGAGGTGCAGAGGGCTCCGTTTGCCTGACAAAGCTGCAGAAGTGCTGCTGCTGCTCCCTGCTCACACACCCAGCGCTGGAGGTGGTGCCTGTGTACCCATGACCTGCTCGCTTCGTGATCCAATGATTGGTACACAGGACATGGAACTGAGTGGACCAGGAGTGAGAAGCGTGGTTTGACTGCATTTTTCCTGATTATACCAAGATTTTTTTCTGTTTCCTTTGTAATTATATCTTTATTCTGTCTTCTCACCCATTTATCTGTCCATAGCCTAGAGCTGGTAGCTCCTTGTTGCTCCTGTTTGTCCTATTTATTTGGTTGGCTTGTCTCACTAAGATTTAGTGAGAACATTGTTCTGCAAAGCACAGGGTTCCACATGCCCAAAAGAGTCATTCAAGGGAGTTTGCTTGACACTCCCTGTCTGCAATCAAAAGGAAAAATGAGCATAGGGAAGCATATTTGATATATAGTTATGGGCAAATTTAAGTAGCTCTTAACACTCCTATCAGATTCTCATGAGCAAATGTTAGCGTAGACCCGTCTGCTGTCCTGCTAAAATCACTTACTGTCGAGTGTAAAATACCTACTTGCACAGTATCAGCATGTTTAGAACTACTGCTGTTTTGTAAAGTGATGATAGTGATTTACTTTGTATTATTCAATTTAAAAAGAAATAGAGTTAAGCACTGGTTAGGAAATACAGCAGAGCCCTCCTATGAAATATGTATTTTCAAATCTCTCACTTGTTGTTATTGATGGTGATTCAATTCCACCATGAATTGCATTTCTAGTTTATATGCAGGACTGTTTTGGTTGGGAATACAACAGTACCAGGTTCTGTGGCCTTGGCTTTGTCAACGCTCACAGCTTTGGGCTCAGCTCTGTTCCAGCAATGTCCTGCCCTCTTGTACTGCTGAGTTCAGCCCTCAGGAGCTCCTGGGTCCTGTGGGGACAGAGCTGAGAGGCTCCAGCTCATTTCTGTGAGCTGTTAGGTGACTCCCAGCTCCTGCTGCTGAGCCAGCTCGTTGCTTTGGGAGATCAGGCCTTAGGAGATCACTTCTTCTCTGAATAAATGCCCCTTTAGTGTTTCCTCCAAAACACCCTTGGCAAGATGCTGTTTGGATTTAGATGGTGAAGGGTTAATAGTGTCAGCACAGAGCTCAAAGAGTTAAATAGACACAGATCAAAATACTCCAGTGTCTAGAGGGATGTGTTTAAATGAACACTGCAAGGTTGGCAGGCCTCCAAATTAGCATAGCTTAAAGAATTCAAGGTACATTTAATTGGATCCTTCTAATCCCTTTTCCCTTAGAATGAGCATTTTAACAGTTTAATTCCTTTTGCAACCCCCACATCCCTTACTCCAGTGGCCCATCTAAAATAAATACTGTGAACTATAAAAGGCCTAGAGAAGTTCTTGCTGAAGCTAGTGGCAACAGGATGGAGCCCTCAACACTCCCCTCATCGGGATGGGATGTTTGGAACTGCAGAGGGAATCAGGGCTGAGCTTGGCACCCAGCAGGTTCAGCTGCTGCCTGCTCGAGAGCTTCAGGGGCTGTGTTGGGATGGAGTTGGCAGCTGTGGAACAGGAGGTACGGGGTGGGGGCTGGAGGCAGCACAGGGGGCTGTGTCTGGGTGCCCAGGGAGTCCCTTGGGTGCCAGGTCAGGGAGCTGGCAGTGGGCAGGGGAAAGTGCCCCACTCTTTGCCAGAGCAAGGCAAGGGAAGAGTGCATGAGAACCACAGGCCAGGACACTGCTTTTAATGTATTTGATACACTTTGGGCCACTTCAAGTACTCGTTAGTAAGTGAACTGACTGACTGGCTGTTTGTGATGACCTTTTTACTGACTTCAATGACTCTTGTTCAGTGTTTGGCACCTGACATGGACTGTAAGCTCCTTGGGGCACAGAAACACTGGGAAACCCTTCTTGAGGAAAGCCTGGATAACAGCTCTGTTGGGTTCTACCTTTTCTTCTCAGTAGGCAGATCAAACCAGAATTTTAGTTTCCAGGAATCTGCAGTCTTCTCAATGTGAAACTGCATACCAGTAAAATGTCAGCCTTCATCCTGCCAGAGGATGAGCAGCCAGTGTTCGTACGGTGCTGAACGAGGCTTGCTGCAGTTACAGGATCCTTCATGTAGATATCCCACGACATGGTGTAACATGAATAACCAGTTCCCCAACAGCAAAGGGGCCTTAGTAAAGCAGTCTTCAAAGCTGCTCAGCCCCTCTGCCAAGACCAGACTGGGTGATTTATCATCCAGCCTAATGTCAAATAGATTAAGCTTTGAGCTCTCGAAGTACTGTGAAATGTCATTATTAGTTATTTTTTTTTATGGAAACAATTACAAAACTGTTTCATTTTTTACACAGATACAATTGTGTCCTCCAGCTGCTGAGCTACTTTAGACTACATTGTCACCTGCTTCTTCGGGCACTAAAGACAAGAAGACTCTCAGAGGTAGAGACATTTCACAGGATGGACAGAGATTGCTCCACTTCATGCAGCAGAACCCAGAAGTTCTACACCAGGTGAATTCACGTCTTTTCTATGGGGTATTACTATATTTCTGAATTCTCCTGGGTTTTGGGGTACTTGACACCAGGTAGCAGCGGCTGTTTAGTGACAGAACAAATCTCCCCACTCTGGGATGCAACCCCTGAGTAGCTTCAGCTGTGTTCTCATGACAACCAAGGACTGAAGTTATTTTTTGTCACACTGAACAATGTAGGCCCTGTACTTGTCTGTACAGCATCTTACAACTGGGTGTTTCATTTTTTGCTGATTAAAAAAATGTATGTGAGATCATCAATACACTTCTATAGATAAATGGGAAGAAAAGTCTTTAAAGTATTTTAGGAGGAAGAAGAAAAATTTCTGGCATTGAACTACACATTTTGGTAATGAAATGTGCAAACTGAATGTCTATATGCTGTCAAGTTTGAATATTTTATTTTGCAGTAGATGACTCACTGGGATTTTTTTCTATTAAAGGTAAATACAATAGAAATTAAATCTCATGCTTCTGAAAAGGAAGTGGCCTCTGTAGTGCTGAGGAGAGATTGCCCCTTCTCAACTCCCTCAGGTTTTCACAGCCCAAGTGCATTACAGAGAGAAAAAGATGTTCATAGCTACAGATCTCCAATGCCACACGCCCTTAAATTCTCACTAAACTATTTGAAAATGCTGATTTACAGGAATCTAATGTGGTGGCAGAGCTGCCATTTAAGGAGGTGTGTTTCACAGGTCAGGAAGCTTTTAATCTAATGCAAATGACGAGTGTGATCATTTGTGATTCCCTGCTAGCTGGATGTCATTTGTAAAAAACCTGGCATGCAGTCACCAGTTGTTGTTGGCATTTGCTTGCTGTTCTAATTGAAGGTGAAAAGGAACTAATGGTAGCTAATATAATCCTGGCACTATATTCCGAGAATATTAATGGTGTTTATTATTGACATCATTACCAGAATAGGATGATTCCCTTGTCATATTACAGGTTCTTATGTTTTACACGCCTGACAGGGCTTTCCTGGAAGCAGCAGTCGGCGTTTGGGGCTGCTGGATTGCTCCACACTGCACCTCACGTGCAGTGATTGAAGGGGCAGAGCCGCAGGCTGGTCCATTTGTGGCAGTCCTGATGTAATACTTTGTCTGTTAATATGCAGTAATCTTTCACTTTACAGCGTATGACTAGGCAGCGATCTGTCTTTATTAACTTCAGATTCTGCGGAATACGTTATATTTATTTTGAATGCAGGCTTTCACATACTCTTTTAAATATTAATGGCTGGTCTCCAGCAGTCAGCATAAATATGATTTGCATTAGCACTAGTCATATCATATTGAGTGCCTTTGATGTCAACTATTCAGGGTACTAATATCTGACATCATCTCCCGAGGTCACTGACAACTTTGACCTTTATTCTCATGCACAGTTTCTATAGTCTCAGAAGCTCTTTTGAATTGATTTGAAATTTTGACTCTTCCCTTTATGAGGCAGTAAAATTGATAATTATTCAGATGGGAACTGAGTACTGAGCGAAAAATCAATTCCACCCGCTCTCTGCTGCGTATAAAATTACTTCTGAGTCTGCCGGACTGAACGGATGGCCAAGGTAAAAGCAGCAGGCAGGAATAGTGGAGAGGATTAGCTGGACAAAACTAATAGCCTAAAGGGATGGCTTTGGAGATGAGGGAGTGTGTCGGTTGGGGGTTATTATTAGCAATGATGGGACTCATTGATCATATGTTTACATCAGGTTTCCATTGGGTTATAAATCAGCCCTGAATAGAAGCGGAACCCAGGGCCTGGTGCGCTACCGGGGGCACGGCGTATTAGATTATTCTCACTTTCACACTCGGATGAAAAGTGAGACATTGATTATTCATTGGCTGGCCATTAAACACTGGGTTTATGGACGATTTGACTATCATAGAAGCTAATGAACAAGATTGCTGCTTCCTAACCAGCGGTTTCAGTTTTCAGGACATCTGTTTGGTCTCAGTAATGCATAACCCTGTTAAGGAGCGGGTCACAGACGCTTAACGGCGCTGAAACCCTGCGGCCTGCTGCCAAACCGTGCTGCACTTCGGGGCTCTGGCGGCTCCGTACCTGCGCCGCTCCCAG